ACAATAAAACAAACCATACACAACCGCCTAACAACCTTAACTATAATAGTATTATGTTTCAAAACTTGAAAAAAAATAATAGTTTAAACGATATTATAGATATGAATTGCAACAAAAAAAAAAACAAAATCGAAAATATGAAACCGTAAATGTCCGTAAAATTTCCCTTTTCGCTTAAGTTTTTCGTCGGATTTTCCAAATCTTTAGGAAAACAACCAGTAAAATGTGAAAGTACAACATTTCTAACACACCGACTAAACAAAAAATATGCTACCAAAGAAGCTCTCTGGTCGGTTTTTGATTGGGACCACATTTCTGATATAATAGTTGTTAACGAACAGAAAAAAAAAAAAAAAAAAAACCACCTTATAACGACTCGCTGCACTCGAAAACTATAAAAATGGGTAATATCATCAGAAATCGCGGCCAAAGCTGCGTGTACACCAAACAATTATTACGACGACGTCACGTTCGGTCCCCGTATAATCCGTTTATTTATTTCAATCGAATGATAATTATATACTTAACAGCATTACTACGTCGACCCGCGGTACCGTATAGTAAGTACTATTATAAAACATAAACCCGAAGATTTACGATTCGGATTACCTGTATACAAATGAATTATTAGTGTTTCGATAAAACCAAGCAGGTTCCCCCGCAGGTTCCTCCTTGGGGTGTAAAGAACTATCGTAGACACGCCGGTATGAGCAATCCAATATGCAATTTACGATGTTTTCGTTCGGTGCCCGGGTACGGGGTACGCGCGGTGGAGTGTTGTAGTCGTATTATTACTATGCACGTACACGATGACTCCGCGATGACGAGCGATGGCCGTGACCCGGTCCACGGACCCGTACGGATTGTGTTTTTCGAACGTTGCATAACGAGAGTAAAAACGGCACGAGCCGAGCATTGCTCGGCGCGGCGGCACGCGAACAGTTTGTGCGGGGCAAACAACCGCGATTTAGAAACGTAAAACGCCGTAACAATGATAATATTAATAATTTAATTTTGGCGTTATGAGACGCGTGCCCCGGTCACACTGTCTAGTTTACCGGTATAACGTACGGGCACAACTTCTAAAACGAGCGTAACGACAAGAGATTAAAAACAAAAAAAAAAAAAAAAAAAAAAAAAAAACGTGTTTCATTGGCGACTATAATACGATATTGTAGTCGCGGGCCGCATTAGTGCACGCACAGTCATTGCGCTTATTATTATTTTCTAAAACGCAAATCGTTATATTTACGTGCAGTATTAATTTTGCGTTTATATTCACGGCGATTTATTAATTTCTGTAAGCGGTTCGTTCATAATTTCGGCCGTTCGCATTAACACACGCGTATTATTTAACCTTCTAATTATTACATTACCGTGTGTACGCTTATAATTATTTCGTTTCCACGTAGATATTTCAATGTTGTTTATTTACACGATTGCGATAAGAAAAGAAAAAAAAAAACACAATAATTAATAATCAAGCTATACTCGATTACTTGTAGGATTTTTTTTTATTTACACCCTTTCAATAATATATTTGAAACACATCGGACTAGATGGCACTCGTGTACACTTTCTGTCTAATAACACCTTCCGTCACCGGGTCAGTAAATAACACAAATTCCATTGCTTTTGCCCTTTGCTACGGGTCGTATATATTTTAATAAATGTTAAAAAATAAATACTTTAGCGACACAGATGAAAAACAAACGTATATCATTAGTTTATTTGATTATTCAAGGACTGCGAAGACCTTTAAAAAAAAAAAAATTTGCGAATTAACGAGTTAAAAAGTTTATAGTCAAGTTAGCATTTCACCATTCACTTGACGAACCAAACCTTTTTTTTTTTAATTATTGCTATCAACTTTGCATATATTTTTACGTTACACTTACAAATGCAATTTTTAATTATACATTTCCACTGGCGTACAACGAATTTAAATTAATTTTAATTTTAACGCATTATGAAACGATACGCTATACCTATTTATATTGTAGACACCATCGGTGTAAAAAACGTACAACGCATTTTTTAAATTTCAAATTTCGTTCGGGGACTGCGCTTTAAAAGTGGTCAATGTCAATGAAACGCAAATCCTCGCGCTTTTAAACACATACAACTGCGGTAAATTAGATTTAATTTTCTATACTTGCGTTGCGCAAACAACTATACAACACGTTCGAAGAAAACAGGAACGTGTATGGCGATACAGTGGAAGCGACTCGTCTGGGCATTGGACACCCGTCCTATATTCCGTCGATTTACGTAACGTATAACAGATAAATATTATTATTATTATAATCGAATTTATCGATCACTCGCCCAATAACAATAACCGTGTACAAATCCGTGTTTACAATCCGCACGAATCGTTATTGTGTGTCCGCAATAGCGTTTCCATAACAAATGTAAGTGTAGGTATTTGTGTTTTGTATACTTTTACCGCTCAATTTTGTCATTTTTTTTTTTCATTACGAATCCGCGTTATTACGTTACAGTTACCGGGTTTTTCTCGTCGTCGTTTTCTTAACTAAAATTTAGTCTAATTTTCGGTTTTAAGTCGTGCGACGCGAATCGCTCCGATTCGTTATGACGGTCTCTTTCACGAGACAATAATAAATTCACCGTATTTGCGCATAATACTGTTACACCGCGACATTCGATACTTGTCTATTATTCGCAGGGTATTATATTGCACGCACCCCATAACCTATTCATATTCATAATTCAATGTTTTATCATAACACTCCGGGTGACGCATTCATTCGTTTATTTATTTTATTTTTATTTATATATTTGTTTACTAAACGTAGGAAATATAGTTGAAAAAATATCACGGTCTTTTTTTTCCTGTGAGTAACTTTTTTACTAGCAATTTTGCTCCGATAATCTGATTTGCAATGATAACACTTTTTCTGAAAATAAATCTGACTGAGAGGATACTTTAAAGGGGTCGTTTGACGATTTTTTTTAAGATTTTTCCCAGCAAATGTGTAAAACCGGAAAAAAACATAGGAAAAACGGGAAAATTGATACAATATTATAGAAAATATATAATGCATATTTAATTATTTTACCATAATATGGCACAAATATTGTTTACAAAGCATTCCTATCAACTGAACTCCGCACAGAATCGTTTTTTCGTTAGCAATAATTTATCGTTGCTTACAGATATATATATTACATTTCCTACTGTATCCTACCTTCTCAACTTCCTACCTACATTAGAGGCTGCATCCACGTGCGAAGTATGTCAATTTATTTTTATTGTTTTTATCGAAAGAGGTTTTTCATTGATTTAATAATAGGCTCCCAATATCAGGAGGTTGAGTAATTTTAGCCAATTGAGCTCAACATCCAACCGTGGTCCTATAAATACTATTTTCACTTTTTATTTGTATTGATATCTGGTGATGATGAAATATTTTAATCCGTTTCGATCAGCATTTCGATCGGTTTTGTAGAAAAAATTTAATTTTCTAAGCCATTTCCTCATAAAGTGAAATTGACCTTAGAGACAGTTCGATCCTTGAGAACAAAACCAATCAATGTTTCTTCATAAATTATGTGGATAAAAATGTCTCCGGGGATGATGTGGTAAAGGTTTCAATGTGATTCCATATGTGCATCATGCCATCTTACCAAATCGCGTCAAAAATATTTCAGCAGAGCTGTGGAGGCAGGAATGATCAATTCAAATCAGTATCTAGATACTCAATACTATTTAGATGATAACAACAGTAGTATCACAATATAAGAAGATATTCGATATTTTTAATAACAGCATCGCGATACAAGATATAGAAGATACTGTCTAACCCTGAGTATTGGAATTTTGTAGATATAACAAGCTATCATATTTATATCTTCACTATGAGAAGATAAAAATCACTATATGTTTATTCACCGGTAAAAAATTATTATCTATACTAAAAAAAGTAATTTATCAATTTTCTTCTTGTTTGAAAGTCTAATAACTCTTAAACATTCTATTGTACCCGATGACTAGGTAGTAAATATAACAATGTCGTTCGAAACCCAAACCGCCACAATAAACATTGGTTTATTTGTAAAACTTTACACATTCTACAATCAAAATAATCATTAATTTGATACGATTTTATTTCCTTTTGTAGCTTAAAAAACACCATTTTATTTACAACATAAAGTTCGTGGACCGTAATTATAGTCGAACAGTACTTATAAAGATTTATTATTATGTAATGAAACGTCCACTGTATAGATAGAAATTAAATAAAATTGTCTTTATTTTTTTTTTAAGTTCAATTCCAAATACTAATATATTTTGCAGAAACCGATTAAGTAGTAATAATAAAATCAATAAATCACCATTTTCTTTCGAATTTTTTTTTATTCATTCACGTTTTACAATAATATTGCATTTCATATAGAATTATTCATGTTTACACAGAAGGAACTTCAAGGATTATATTATGATGGGGAGAAGTGGTACAAAAAAAAAAAAAAAATAAATATATGATAACTTTTTAAGAGAGTGAATCGAATTGGACAATTTTGACGATGGATAGACAGATAGATAGCTGATAGCTGGAAGTTTTATAATCCCCTTTCCACCTGAAAAACCAAAAAAAACACCTATACTTTATTGCATAGGTACTTATTATATTTTGTTGAATTACAATTATATTTTTCTCTTATTTTACTATTACAAATGTAGGTACGTAAAAACAAATTCAATAAAAAAAAAAAAAGTCGGTAAAATTTAGCAAACATAAAAATACTATAATATAAAATATAAAATAAATCCGTACAAATATAATACAAAATTCAATTTAAAAAAAAAAAAAATTATACAATTATGAGATTCATAAGAAAATTACATTATGTTATCATAATAATAATAATTATTATTAATATACGCAATGATAAAAAAAACATAATTTGACATCATGTACTTAATTATTCACTAAATTTAAATATAAAATATTTTTATCATTAGGAAATATATTGGCAGTTGTTATTTATTTTCAGTTTAAGGTAATAATGTTACATAATTTATTATAATTTCGTTAATTTACACTTTATAAATGAAATTAAGTACGTACCTCGATAATTTTTAATAACATGTTTTATACGAGTAGGTTCATTATGAGGCCCTGTCATTAGTAATTTTGACCAATGGCAAAACGAATGCGGTCTTTGAGAAATTATTGTTTCTCAATTTTTTTAAGATTTAGGGGCGGGTGGTTTTCAACAGGAAAATAGCTAAATACTAGTACTCGTTTGCCCACAACAAATTTAGTAAAAATAATATGATATATTGGGAATATTGAGGAATATTGATAGGTGGACGCTGGATAAATTATATTAAGTTGCTTGCGGGTTATTTAGAATAATTTCGCTATTCGTTTTAACAATATCATAATACACAAATACATTACATTACAATAAATAATTCAATAATATTAATGACAATATATAAAATATAGTAAATTAAAAAATATTAAAAGTTAACCCGCTGTGTATTATGTGTATTTCGTAAGTAACTCAGTTCGTTTATAAGTTATTTGGAAAACAAATATAAACTTTTGTCCGAAAGGAGATAGTTGGAGCGTGACAAAGAAAAAGTGATTCAAATAGAAAACAATTGTAATTTAGTTTCTGTAGTTTCAGAAGCAATAGTGTAACTCGTCGATTACGATTCGATATTTAAAATTTGAATTAAACAATAAAAAGTGTAATGTCGTGTAATAAATAGGCAGTGTTCTAACGTGTGTAATAATTTTGTGTTATTTTTGAAAATTAACTCGTCCGGAACTGCAGTTAATTTTTATCCATATTCGGCCACACTTCGACAAAACAATAGTTAATAATAATTTATATATACATATATGTATAATATGTCCACATCCGCATGGCGTAGCCGGAAACGTATTTCGGCATTAACGGTTTAACTTTGCGATCCTCTTGCGAAAAAACCTATTTCGGGGATTGAGGGGAATTGTTATGACTGCCTCATGGCTGCGCTTCCGCCGTGTCCGTTGACTCGAACACGATTTTCAATGGTATTTAAAATAACGTACGTCATTTTGTTTTGTACAATCACAGACTTATGGGTAAACCTAACATATTTATTTCGCTAATTATTTCAACGGTCGAGATAAATGGTTAATTTTTTTTTTTTTTTTTTTTTCGTCACCACTGAGTCTTTTCCAATTTGATTTTGTATTGCTTTTCGTCGGGATAACCTGTAACACGCGGGGGGAAAAAAAAATACTATTTAAAAATACGTTTCACGAGTTTATTATATCGTCTTTTTTTTTTAAAAAAAAAAAAAAAACCAAATTTAAATATTACATTATTACAATACGTACAAATCATTTGAACGTCTCTCGTCGTATCGGTGGCTAATAAATCGGAATCGGCCAAACATTTCTGTACGTTTTTTGGCCACTGTTTCTAAATTATTAAAAAACATATGAAAATCAAAAATGTATTTTTTAATTTTTTACTAGCGTCAATTAATCGGCTCTATACAGAGTATCGTGAATAAGAAAGTACATACTAGAATATTTTAAATAGCGGTGCGACGCAAATCCGGATTTGCCGAAAATTCGACGAATCCGGATTTTGGGTTTTACGATAATAATTCAAGTTTGTAATTTTTTAATTTTAAATGTCTATACGAGATAAGCTTTAACTAATGTAATTAATATAACCAGTATGAGCTAAGTAATAAATATAAGTTATTGATTTATAAAAAAAAACGATTCTACCAATGTATTTGTATTTGAATATATATTTAAGTGATTTTACTATTAGAGTTTCTCACAATAAAATATGTAATCTCGAAAATTGCCCTCCATTAACTTATAATATTTTACTAGTGAACCTTTAATCTTTACCTCCCACTCACTGGTAAATTTCCCTCAGAAAAGTTGATAAATTTATTTAAATATTCTTTATTGATTATCGATTCCCTTATATTTCACAGAAAGTATAAAATTCACCCCCCCTAGCCAATATCACAGGGATCAATAAGGGTCTATATAGGGGTTTTAAAAAATTTCGAATACCAAATTTGACCAGTTTCTGCATTTTTTAATTCGCTAGTTTAACAAAACACTATAGTCGGTGTCAAAAGTATAAATAAAATATATATTTAGATAAACATGATTATGTAATATTGTTTTACTAACCGGGAATAAATGTGGCGAATGATTTTTTACGTGTTTTCTGAGCGAACTCGGATCCGTGTACCGTTTGTTACAACCGGTTACCGTGCACGCGTAAGGTTTCTGTAAAAAAAAAAAAATTTGATTATATTTCCATATAAAATATTTAAATATTAGGTTAAGCGATTTTTGTAAAAATTCGAAATGTATAATGATTATTACACCGATAAAAAAAAAAAACATCATAATATATAATACTGAAATACCTATTTGTGTAACGTATTATATTATTTATTACGTTTACCGGAGCAAACAGTAATAGGTGAATAATATCATATCTTACTGAGAACACTGGAGACAATCTGCTGCGATGGCATTTCGTATATTACATTTTATTGCTATAGAGTTTTTTGTATAATATGTATTTGTTTGTTTTTGTTTTTGTTTGGTTTTTTTTTAATATATCAAAACAATTTTGAAAAGCCATTCTTGAATGTTCCTGGTCGGTTAAATTTTTATTCATTCGGTTTAAGGCGAACTCGATAACAAAACCAAAACATTTCGGAGAAAAAAAAAACGTTGAAAGATTTTTTTCCAACATAATAAATTGTTTTTTTTTTTTTTTTTTTTTCATAACACCGTAATAAATAGTGAATTGATTCCGAATTAACCCACGATTAGTTTTCTTTTTATTGTTTTAAAGCAATGTAACATGTTCAACCGATAAACTATTTATACTATTATAGGTAAAATTAGGTGTAAATGTTTGGGAATAAAGAGTGTTGAGCTCCGTATTTAAAACGGGTTAAACGAAATATTGTTAAACTCGAGATTATTCAAAATTATAAAAAAAAAAAAAATTATGTACTAATATAATATGATCGAAAAGACGTTTGCATACGCGTTCCGACTATGTTTCGCGCGTCGGTATAGCATAACATATTTATTTTGAATTTTACAATTGGATATTTAAACCATTTGTTTTAAATTAACGGCGCAATTGTCGTTGTTAAATACCTCGTGCAAATGATGAATTCGCTGAAGTATATTTATAGACGGCATTTTGTATATGCAATTCATAAACACCAACGTGTGTACACCATTGTTTTCGTATTTCCAACGTATGTTTTATTAATTTTTAGCGTTGCGTTGCGTTTTAAATACTTGAATTAAATTCTTAATGTTTTGATATTCTAGTTGTAAAATATATTTTTTTTTTTGACGTTACATTAATGAAAATGCAGGTAATTGATTTTCCGAAGCGTAGGTGTAGGATATAAGGCAATTTAGTTTACGACATATTGATGAAAGCAACAAAATATCATTGCATTAAAAAAAAAAACAATTCTAATAGAATCTCGGTTAACTGATAAAGTTATAGCAAACAAGTAATAGTTATTATCGGTTATGTTTTTCCCATTATGACCGTAGAACAATCGACGTACAGATATATTATTATTTTTCTTTTTATAAAAAATGTCGGGCGTTTCGGAAAATTTTTCAAATAAAATACCACGATTACCACAAGTATTTCCGCAATTTTCGAGGTATAGCATGAAATAATCGGATCATATTAACCGAAAAATAATTTCTGATAAAACGCACGGAGCTAATTTTCATATTCATTTATTTTATATCCGAATCGTTCGATGAAAATTGTACCGAAGTATAATAATATAAATATAATCGAAATTTATATGCCAGACTTGTTTCGACATTTTCAGCTACAGAACAATATAAATATTATTATGACGGTTATAAAATTATATTGTTTTCGAGATACGCGCGATCTTTAAAATATATCTACTAAAATTTTTTCTCCGTGACGATTATTCGAGAGAACATTTCCTTCGTGAACTTAATAATTTATGATAAAATTCTTCTTCTTCGATTTGATTATTATCATTTTTTTTTTTTTTTTGTGCGGGTTTTATTTTATATTTTCGATTTCCCTACGGATATATGTCTCGGTGTATAAGTCGTTAATAGTTTACTTTATAATGAACCATGCGCGAATACCCTAATACAAATAATAAATTATAATAACATTTTGAAAGTTTTTCTGGATAGACGGAAGCATTGAACGGATTGAGCTGAATAAAGTTTCAGCTTCGTGACTTCTTTTTTTCCCTCGAATTCGACGCCTAAAGATGAGGGGGGGGGGTTTGATACAGGGTAAATGGTACGAAAATCGAATTGTTTTTGTTGATGCATGGGTTACTCGGACGATAGGAGCGAAATTAAAACAAAAAAAAAGTTAAAACAAATAAAACTATTATAAGATTTGGTATTATTTCTTTTGCCAAGGGCAACAATGTCAGGCGGTGCAGCTAGTGTACAATATAATACGATGAGAATATTGTGTTGAGTTTTACTACAAAAAAAAAAAAAAATACAAACGTATAATATGATAATCACCTGTTCAAAATGTGTCCGTTGGTGTTTGGCCCGATCCGAACTGTTGCTGAACGCTTTCGAGCAACCCAAAAACTGGCACGAGTACGGTTTCTCGCCGGTGTGGGACCGCAGATGGATTTTTAAATTCTCCAGTCTTGAGAACGCTTTCGGACAGCCGGCAAACTGCAATTGGTAAACAAAAACAATAATCAATTTTTTTTTTTTTTATTATAACCATCATAAATTAACAATATAGACACATTAACTTATATATTGTTTTATGATTATCATTCCCTCTTAAGCTAAGCTTGTGTGAGGGGTTGAGAGTATACCTTTTATAAAAAAAAATCTAACAAAAATGTAATAAATTGTGTACGTTAAATAATATTTATATATAATGGATACACAACAAATAGACGAGTAATAAAAACAAACAAGTTGTTAACTAAACACTATACAATTTCTTGAATTTTCACTTAACATACAATAATAATGAAGCGATAACTATAAAATAAAATTTAAGAATTTAGACTGATTCTAAAAACAATCAATTATATATAATTTTTTTGACATTTCCTTGATGTGTGTGAATAGTTTTTTTCGCCTCGCAAGGCGTTCAGTTAAAATACGTAGGCCCCAAATAGCCGATGAATGATTGACCAAAAGGTTTTTTTTTGGATATTTAACGGGAATATTGTAGGCTCTGTTTTCTGTTTGGTGTTCATAAAAAGGGTTACTGTTAATATCATTGATATATTAATTCCTGGAACCTTGCGTGACGTTCGGGCATTGTTACGAGTTAACGACGGTTATATTTCGACCGTCAAAAGGGGGAAAAAAAAAAAAAGGTCGAAATTATTTCGCGGTAATATTCGGGCGGTTCAAAATTGTTATTGCGGATCTAACCTAAACTATTCGTGTGCGCACGATGCTTTGTAATCGTATTGCCAGGGTTGTCATCGTGATGGACGCGCGGTACCAGAAATCATCCGGGATGCCGGATATTTTTCGGCCGAACGCGTTTACACCGCAGATCGCTACGGAAAAACCGCTAAAAACCTTGATTTGCACGCGGAAAGGCCGTGGGGTTTTAAGTCGGGAATTTGAATTTACGCCGTTTACACCGTTCACGTAAACGAGAAATGCCGCAAATTCGGACTGCGTCGAACCCGGATCATTCCCGCCGACGGTAAACGGAGTGTCGTCCAAGCGTTTCGAACGTAAACGAATGCGCGCGAATGAAAACGCGGGAAAAGAAAAACGCGAACGCCGGCGGGTGATTTCGCGGTACGCCGCTCCGCCCCGACCCGGGGAATCCGCCGTCCCGGCGTCCGGCGCACAAGACCACGCCGACGCGCGTATAACGTGATAACAATGCGCGCCGAACAATAGGGGCGGCCGTCCGGGGGTTCGCGCGCGCGCGCGTGCACCCGATTACGGCGGCCGTCGGTTCGACGCCCGGGACCGAATCGCGTATCGCAATAACAACGGTGACGTTGTGAAACACAGACGCGCGCCGTCGCTCGCGGGCGGGTAGCGGATAGCGCGTGGGTAGGCGGGCGGTAGGTAGGCAGGTAGGTAGGTAGGTACGGTGCGGCAATACCCGCCGGGACCGGACGAATACCCGCCGGGTAATCAGCCGCCGACACCAGTAATATTATACCATTACGGGAAGCGGGGCGGCGTGCGCCCGAACGGCATTGTAACGTTGTGAACGCCGGTGCGCCCGTATTGTAATGTCGCGTACGCGTAGGCAACGCGCGAGTCGCGCCGAACCGAACATTTATTGCGCACCGCGGTAACGACGAATCGATAACGGCGGCCGGTTCGTCGCCGCGTAAAATACGCGACGTTACACGGCGCGCGGGGAAAAAGACAAAAAAAAACAAAAACAAAAACACCCCACGGAATACGCGTAAACGCGCGAAATAAAAAGACGAAAAAAATTAACGAGCGCGCCGGCGGGGGGTGGGAGGGGGGTCGGCCGAACCGTCGACCGCGCACGGTTCCCCGACGTCGACGTATCCGCCCCGTCGGGATTTTCGTGTTCGGTTTGTTTTTTGTTTTTTTTTTTTTTTTCTACGACGGGCACAAATAAATCGCAATAACTGTCGCCGGTCACTTTTGTCTTTTCGGATCATCGTTAATGTTGCCGTCGAACACGGGAAACGCTCGCGTATTTGCGTTTGATTACGAGTCCGGTTCAAAACGAACTGAACCTGCCGACATTGCCTGCACTCGATTTTGTTTCGAAAGCGAGAGCGATCGAGGCGAAAGAACAACAAGCGGTCGCAGGTTGTGTTTGAAAATAACCGCTCGAGAATACGTCTGAATTATTATTAAATAGAATTTTGTGTTTTCGCCAAAACGCAATATTATTAACCGCACGCTCGCTAATGCTAATTCGATATCAGATAGGAAGGTGTGCGGCGAAGTATAGTTTTATTGGAATTATGACATGAACTTTATATCGTTTATTGCATTCAAATGCGACTGAAATTGATTACGTTTTTTACCGCTCTGAAATCACCCTAAAAATTCGTTGAAACGAAAACAAAACGTTGGACACACTTCGAGTGGGCCGCTATTGTAGGTGCGAAGTTGGGAATGTAGGGTGTAGTGGAGAATTTAATGAATTTTCGTACGCAAAGATTAATAATTGCCAACGAATAGCGATTCTGAACGGGGTTCGGTTATGCATGGTTTAAAAAGCCGTAATATTTACGGTTTCCGTGAAAATTTGATATTAAGATTCTTATAAAAAAAATAATAAATACTGCATTAAAACTCAACTTTTTCTCATTGACCACTGAGTACAATTTATTAAGAACCTCCTGTTGAATTGTCGAGAATTTCTGTTCGGTCTAGCGATTTTATCCACAGAGTACCTACCGAACAAATATTACGTAAAAAACTCGCAAAATTTAAATGGCTATAAATGGTTCAAAAACGGCTCGAATTTTTGAAAATATCTACATTTCAATAAAAAGCAAATATGAGATTTCTGTCAATATTTCAAGTCTCAAAAAACATTTTCAACTGAATTACAGCAAAAAAAAAAAAACAAAATCAAAAATAATAAAATCATAATTTTCATAGGTTTTCCCGTTTTTTCTACGTTTTTTTTCTGTTTTTCCGAATTATTTTAAAAAAATGCTTGAAAAGTTAAAAAATGACCCCTTTAAAGTACCGCTCCAAAAAAATTTCCTATCAGAAAAAAATTTTACACTAGAAAATCGGAGCAAAATTTCTGGTAGACATTTTATACACGGCATAAAAAAAATGTAATAATAATAAACATCGTTGTAATACCGACACATTCCTCGCATCGCTCAGAATCTAAAATCGGTACTTATACAAATAATGGGTTTTCAACGTCTGAGTTTAAAGTTTTCACACGGACGCTTTTTAGAAGCTGCAGTATGTTGTTAGGTTCGTACGAGGACGTTTTTTTTTTTTCATTATTATTTCATTCAACATCGTGTTTCTGATAAAAACGTTCGTTGACGAGTTTTACTGCTATCCACAATATCGTGCCTGAATAATAATACTGTCGTGATAATTTCACGTTCGTATAATCGAAGCTTTCCGAAGACCTTAAAAATAAGAAGAGCCAAGTCAATTGGACGCATACCGCGTCAAAACAGTCTACTTAGCCGGATAATAGAAGGTGCCATTGAAGGGAATAACGGCAGAGGGCGACCGCCGCTGGACTACATTAGTCAAGTAGTAAGACATATGGACCGCAGATCTTATTACGAATTAAAAAGTAAAGCGGAGAAGCGTCAGGAGTGGAGAATCGCTGCCGACCAGCGCTTGGGCTGTTAACGAAAAAAACAAAAAAAAATCAAATCGTTGGCGATGGGAAAAATCCGCGGATTTGCCGGAGTCCGATAGTGCGATGATTTCGAAAACGTTCGGGCGGCCCGTTCAACGCGCCCGTTTTAAACACAGAGAAATACAAAATGTACACTACAGATTTAAACGGATCGATAGCCCGTTTGGGTTTCGTAATTTACACACGCGTGTGTCGCGTTTTTAGGCGGTCGGCGGGGAAAAATCGCGGGCCAAAGTGCGCCCCTATCCCCCGTTCAGGAAAAAAGGGCTCGCACTGCTGTCCCCCGCCACCCGAAAATAAAACCCAACGCGATTGTTTATTTGTACCGTACGGCCTGTAATTATATTTACCGTGCACTTGTTGGGCTTCTCGCCCGAATGCACTCGCATGTGTATGAGCAGCTTGTACCGGGCGTTGAACGGCCGCACACGTCTGGGACAGCCTCGCCACTGGCACGTGTACTGCGCGCATGCGCCGCGGGGCACCGTTTCCACGTGCAGTTTCTCGATGTGCCGCACCAGAGGTTCTTGACCTGCCCCGTCCACTTTTACCGTGCACCCGTCCCATTCGCACGCTCGTACGCCGTCGCGGGGATCGCCTGCGAACAGAGTGGAAAAAAAAAAATAAAATAAACACGTCGGTACCGAACCCTGCGCACGGACCGCGCGAGCGCGGCGGTGAATATCGGTCAGTGTGATACTGTCTAGGTAGGTCGTACCGGCGCACTACGCGCCACCGGGAATGATAATATTTGTTTTTTGGATCGTCCGCGGCGCGCGATAATTCCAACGTCATTGATAGACACGCGGTCGGTTGACGATGACCTAGAAAAATACTTTCCGGAAAAAAAAAAATGCGAAACAATTGTAACGGTCCGTTTTCAATTCGAAATAAATTAAATTAATGGATCGTTTGCGCTGCGCACTCGAACGCCGACTCGCTTCTCGACTGTTGGCTATCGATGGCGCATTTAACAGCGAACTACACGCTGTATTATAGTCCCCTTTGTGACGACGATTCAATTTAGTTTATCGAATCGGATTTATACGGTTATACAGTTTACAAATATAATATTTGATAAGCCGCACACGATAAACGTTTGCGAGGACGTTCGTCTGAAAGTCTTTTGTTTTTCTATTATAACAGGACACGTGAGCACCTTGTGCGCTGTGAGTTTAATCACATCTAAAACTCTCCAACTGGTTAATAATTTTAACTAATTTCAAAAATGTAAACATTTTCTTTGAAATGCAAAATTTAATAAGAATGTATGATATTGTATAGAAAAAAAAAAATAAATAAATAAATAAATAACGTTACAAAACAAACAAAAAAAAACCCCCAGTATCCTTTGATTTCCGATATAGGAGTCGGAGACCCCTCCCGACGAAAATAAACATCATTAAGCGTATGCTATCCAACTGTGCAAAACCATTGTCAAGTATTTAGAACCACCTGATAGTCGGAAACTAAAAATAAACATAGCGATGCCGGTGGAGGGATCGAGTTAAGATAGCGACCGTGTCATATCTACCCGTGATATTTATTACGGTATAGCGCGGTATACCTCGACAATTTTATGAGTAAAAAAAAAAAAAAATCTAAAATCTGTTCAAAAACAAAACAAATCCACGATACAGTCGGCAATTATGGGAAAAACCGAATTCTCTTGAAATTTTCCGCAGTCTTAAAATACACACATAGTAACGTTATCGGAGTAATGGAGTAATAAAGAAAAACCGTACGCATGCGAATGCAGCACTGCAGTACTGCATGCATGTATATAGGTATATGCCGTGTGTTCCTCATTAGAAAAACGTTTACTCATCCGGTGTTCGATCTGATGGGACGTCGGACTGACGGTCGAGTAACGCTGTTTTCGATAAATCTGTTACTGTTTGTCTGAACTATCGACGTATTATCAGAGAGCCGTTATCATTCGGCATTCTGTACTCTCGGCGGTTTCGTTCACAGATCGCACAGGTAAAATGTAAAAACGGATAATGCCAGAACGTTGTTGTCTCCGTTAAAACTGCTCGGGAATAGCAACGGTAAAAACGATATTGAGAAGTGCCTTGCGGTTACTTAAGCGAAAGCCCACACGAATCAAACGTTTTGCGTGCATTGTGTCGCACGACGCCGAGATCGAGTCCCGATCTCGTTTTCCACTTGCGCGATTTTCTACACGCGGATCGCTAATCGGACGGATCGAAAATCTCATTAGAAACACACGGATGGCTTATCGAAACCCGGGCTGTAATTCGAGGAAATCCAATCGTTTTATCCGCGGAAAATCATACTGGAAATCTCGATTTCCGTAGAATCGGAATACGTTAGCTGTTTTTTTTTTTTTCTCGTCCTCGTATTCATAACAGTGTTACATCTACCGGATCCTAGGGAGAGAACGGTGCCTCCGCACTGCGCAACGCGGGAGGATCGTTAGAATATTGTAGTTTTGCCCGCTGCCGCCGTCTACACGACCTACGACGACGCGACGGCGGCAGTGGCGGTAAACCGCACCGCGCACAAACAACGGGAGTGCCGCGGAGCGGGTGGCGGAGCGAAAAATTTCAATCGATTTTCTCTCGAAAAACTGCAATCGTTAGCGCACGAGAGGTCGTCGACTTGCCGCCACCGCCGCGACAGTATAATTGGCCCGGGGTTTTCTGCTAGGGTGCACGCAAATAGCTATCGCCACTCCCCCTCTCAGCCCCCCCTACCCCCCCCCCACGGGATTTATGTGGGTCACGAGCTCCGTCTAGGTTTTGCACCAGAGCTGCGTTTCGCGCTGCAAACGAATACACAATACACAATATGTGCTATTACCGGGTCCTTGTATAAAACATTCGATTTATTATTTCGCCCGTTTGGAAATTTGACCACGGGTCTGTCTTTCACCGTGGGATACGATTTCTCGCAGAGAACTATTGGTGAATTCACACACGGGACGTTGTAAACACGTCGGTCGGATCGAGTAAAACCAAAAGAAAAAAACGGGTCGGTTTAAGCCTATGTAGAATATCGGTCTAGAGGGCTTGTGAGCAGCGAAAAAAAAAAAATAAAAAAAACCATCTAAAGATTTTTCCCGTATTGAAATATGGCAATGAGTGTGCGTTTTTATTTATTTATTTTTTCTGTTTGCGTGCGTAATAAAATTTATAGCGAAATCAATTCGTCGAATTTAATTCAACGGTCCGGGCGAATTTTCGTGTACATTAGATTAGATTAGATTTTCGTGCGCTCGGGAGGGGGGGGGAAGACATTTTGTATTAAAAACGTAATTTCGAGAATATCCGGATTACCGTTATTGGCGGTATCCGTCACTACCCAAATAAAATACATCTGTTTGATTCTAGCGTAGTCAAATAAATCAACAGCTTTTTAAAACACTGTTTCCCAACACTGCTGGTGGATGGGAACATTCAGATTCAGACTTCTACGGTGGCACTTAAAACGTTTTAAAAATAAAACCAATATCAAAAAAAAAATGTTTAAAAAAAAAAAAAAAGGCCATTAATAATGTCAGTAAAAATAAGAAGCGTCCGATATCGCATTTGAAATCTATACAACGTAGCTGAAGACGAATAAATGTTGGGAAATTTCATTTTCGGTGCAATACCACTGAAGTACTTTTTACATTTAAGAAAATTGTAATTTGTTTTAGTTAGTTTCTAAATAATTTTAAAAATACCTCAAATAAGTTCGTAATATATTTTATGTTTATTGCGCAATCGTTTATTTTTTCTGAAATATGAATGATCGAAAATGAACATTCGTGTTACGCCCCTTCGTTTTAAAAATACGCGCGACGGTTTTAATTTCGAATTTTTCAGTGTTAGTACATATATGTACGTATTTTTTTCAATAGATCCACGTGGGTAAAAAAAAAAAAATAAATATAATAACAGCCCGCCATTTTTGTTGCGATAATATTATTATCACCGGGGAAAATAATCGCCGAGAAACTCGCGTCAAAGTCGATTATACTTTATACAGACATTATTATAAAGTTTTTTTCACTCAATAAAGAGATATATCGCTTACAGCTTTTCGTATACACAGTACACTATACCTATGCATGTCATATTCGTGCCCCGTGATAACGCTACAGATAATTTTGAAAAGTTAATAAAGAAATTCTTCTTCAAATGTATGCGTACATTATATTTTATACGTTTTATAACCGTGCATTATATATACGCCGTCTAACGTTTTAACTTTTTAAGTCCACAAAACTTTACATTTTTCCCCCGAGTATAAGTACGAGAACGAATAAATATACACTCAAATTAAATTTATGGTTGATTATATTATTATACAAAATACAATTTTTAAAAAAGTCAGATACTGTTTATGATTGCGCCACTAATTTAAGAGAGAAATGGGAAGGATGAATACATAGAATAATTTTTAATTTCTGTACGCAATGGTAAACCGTTTTTACAAAAAACAATTCTGAGCAGATTATTATCAGGCGAAGTTATTGATTTTTTGTCAATTTAAAATAATCTATACCCATAAATCATCAAAAATTAATTTAAAAAAAATTGCATAAACATACTGTGGCTTGGAATAAATACTCGAATACTTGCATTAAGGTACGTCACAAATTGTTCGTATATGGTAATACAAAAATATTGAAAATATTGGCAATCTTTAAGCCGGTAGATTATATTTTTTATATTTTAAACGTTTTACAGTGGTATAGCTTAGAAGGATCAGAGAGTACCCTGGCCTGTTTGCTTAGAGGGCCTACAGTAATACAAAGTTTCTCTTTTAATAATATGCTTATGAAACTAGCTATTAATTTTATAGTTATTTTAAAAAAAAAAATGAAGTTACGCCACTGGCACTTCAAGTTTAAATTTTAATGAAATTTGTTATAATCACAAATATTTGTTTAAATTTTCTTCCGCGCAATATGTTGGGCACTGTGTTATTTTATAGAACACTGCAATACACTAGGAGTATACTCAGGTGTACTTACTCGTATTACAAAAATAATGAATACCTTAAGTATGAACTAACAGTGACATAGTAAACATTTTGCTAAGAAGAGAGATATCATAGCGGAAAATTGTGTCGTATTGTATAAAATGTACTAAGGCTAACCAAAAGGAAAATCAATTTTGAATTCATGTATGATATTTTTGTACGCAATTCTTAATTTAGTCTGTCTTACAATTGCCATTTAAATCAAATAACTAAGTATCAGTAATTAATAATTTTTTATTAGTTTATTGATAATAATTGATACTGTTTTATCATAGAATATAGTAGTAGTTATAACTAAACCACAAAAAAAAAAAAAAAAAAAAAAATGTAAATTTACAAACCAGGTATAGTCATATAAATAATAGATACTAAAAAAAAAAACGTCAATGTGAAAAGATATATCGCCGTAATTTCCCCTATTAAATACGACACTGACTCAATAAACCAATAAATAATGGATGCGCATTAATAAATCTCTGCGCAGTTATCGGGACGGAAAAAATAAATTATTAAATGTGCGAAATAATGAAATTACTTTTGAAAATTTTTTTTTTCCAAAAACGAATAATATTATTCATTTTAGTTTTCCATCTCCTCTAAACGTACAGGATTTTATATATTTGAGACATTTATATATTATTACTTATATGTTTCAGTTTCGTACGGCTATACGACTCGAGGATAAAATCGACAATATAAAATTGTTCACTCAATAAATTGATAAAAGAAAACCGAACGGTTTTATAAAATGCAATATTAAATACTATATAGTTAGTAGATATAATTGTATAAATGTTCAACTGCTGTGGTTTTTACCTTGGTACGATGGTTCCAAATAGGTGTCGAACATAATGGCGTCACAATCTTCTTTGGGCATTACCACCTTGAAACAACAATACTTTTAATATAAACAAACCGGAAAAATAAAATAAAACAAAATTTTTATAATTTTTCCCCCTTAATACAATATAATACACAAATCACAAACTGACCTGGTTGTCAGAAGCGAGAAACACTTTGTCGGTCCGATCGTTGGTCAGAAACGGAATTTCGAAGTTGAGTTCTTCTCTGTCGCCGCCGTTAATATTATGTCCGAACGAATCAAAATCGTGAATATCCTGAAATGAAAAAAAAAAATTATTGTAACACAATAATAGTACCGATTTTACAACTGTTACTTATATCGTCATTTATTCTATACAAGAGACATATGTGATCTGAGGGAAACTGAAGAATTGAGGGTAGAAATATTTGAAAAGAAAATATGCTAAGGTGAACATACTATAATGGCCACAGGCACGTCGCGTAACTTGTAAGCGCAATGAGTGCAGAATAAAAGTAAAGATTACACAAAGAATAACTCCGAAATCTATTTCGACGACTGTGAAAAACGAAAAAATGACTGGCGTGGGGAATGATTAAAATCGGTAATTGAAGATGAACCAATAAGGGAAAGCCCATCAAGTAAACGTGTTTAGGATGGAAAGATCGTGTGGGAAAAATATGTATATTATAAGTAATAAAACAATTGAAAAGAAGAAATAATAAAAAAAGCTGACACTGTTGACGGGTGTGCTACTGTTTCAGATGGGCAGTTGAAAAGAAGAATGCACAACGTAATTTCATTTATATCTGTACTCAATGAAAAGCGATTGTGAGCAGAACATTGTTTCTATTTTTCCTTTTTACAAAGGTAATCCAGAAATCAACAAAAATTGTACATGCAATGGCCAGTTCTTCCTATTTATTAAAAAATCCAAAATTAATATCAAAACAATTTTCATCTTAGAAGTTCTTTAAAGTATTTGAATGGAACAAGATTTTGTATAGAAAAGTTTTTAACTTAAAAAAAAGCACCATAAAAAAAAATTAAATATTATTTATTCCAAAAATATAAAATATTCTATTGCTACGTGCCAATCAAATAACCGATAAATAAATTCAATTAAGATTTTCAAAAATTGATAAAGTTTTTGATTTTCATAAAATTATAATTTATTGGTTTCCCGGGAAAAACAATAATTTAATGTACTTTGATACTCGATTTCATTTCATGTACTGTAATATACTATTGATTTTAACATGAGCTACCCTTGTTGGTCCCCTACCCTGGCTATGCGCTTGAAAAGGGAGATGCGGTGCGTAGGACGCAGTCAATTCGAAAACAACAACAATAGTACTCGAATTCACAGGTGATCTGCATATTATAGGAAACGCATTCACGGACAAAATGCTATCGGGGAAATTAAATGTGTCAGTTATAAGATCCACATTGGCATATAGATGTGAAACTTGGATGACAACGACGGTAACGGAAAAGTGGCTAAGAATAATCGAAAACATTGTATAAAGGGAAATCTGTGGCCTTATGTTCAATGCAAATATGGGAAGTTGGCGAAGAAGATATCATAGGTAACTGAAGGAAATTATGGTAACTAATTCCGACCGGTAACTAACTCCGTCAAAGGCCAAAGAAGACAATAGCTAGACCATATTTTAAGAATCGGGGAGCATGAACCCCCTCATGAGAATGGGGCGAATGACAGTTAAGAGTTATTTTCGAATGAATATCTCAAGGAAAACAACCACGGGGATAAACCAGAAAGAGGTGGATTGACAGAGTAACAGAAGATCTGAATGCAATGGGTACAGATGAAATTTTGTAAGACAGAAAAAATTGATAGGATATTATATATTATTTTAACGGCTAAAAAAAGAAGAAGAAGAATTAAAAAACTATAAAAAATAAAAAACTCGAAAAAATAACAATTTCATACAATTTTCGATTTTGTTTTTTTTTTAATTCAGTTTAAATGATTCGTAGACTGAACATTATATATAATACATATATTACAAAAAATATAATCAAATTTGCATCGAAAACCGATGGTTAATGAGGTTTTCTTTTTAATAGGTACCTGAACTAATCGTAACAAATCAATTTACCTTTAACCGTAACCAAAAATTTTAACCGGAATTCACTTTCAAAACCCGAGACATGAAACCCGAATAACGCAATTTTGATGCGAAACCCTAGTTTATATGGATATAAAGTTTGATGTTTTTAAAAAATTCTTGAAAATTTCACCCAAAGTTCGCTATAGGTAATTTTTACTTTTTTGCTTATAATCTGTATAACAAAATTCTAATTGCGTGTTATTATATTATATACATTTAATGAAATGGGTACAAATTATTCCCAAATTAAATTTAAGATACGCGAATTACCATAACTAACACGTCGTTTTATTATAATAAAATATTAACGGATACATTAAATTTAATTTAAAGAGATTATGTAGTAATGTGTGTAAACCAATAAATTATTTACGTAAGAATTTTTCGACAAATTTCAATTTTACCGCCGAAAAGTATACCTTATATACTAATAATAAACTACATGCATAACCTTTATCGTTTTTTACAGCTCTTCAAGTGCAAGTGCACTTTTTCATACATATATTATATGTATATACGATAAGTGAGTAAATGTATATACACGGCATGTATTATACGTACTACCCACTTAAAAAATACTAGAGTAAAGAATATAAAATTGTTTGTTATGAAGTAAAAAAAAATAAAAATATATTATTAATTTTAAAGGTTTCATTTTATACGATTTCGAATAAAAAAAATAAAAACGATAATCAACAAATTGTAAAATATTCAAGGTTGACATCAAAATAATATTATAAATATTATGATTAAAAAAATCACTGGAATTATAATCGAAAATAATTTTATCAGTAGTTTTCGACAGTGATATCAAAAAATGTAGCCTTAGTTTTACAGAAAAATACAATACATGTATATACATAACAAGTTGTGCAACGAGAAAAATAAATTATCGTCAAACAAAAGCTTTAAATAAACTAGACGCATAGAACTCTGTATTCGATTATTTTGTTCTAAATGTATAGGAGTTTAATTTTTAAAACGTTTTGCCAGAGTCCTTTTTCCATATGGGATCTCTTGCCATAGTCTTCGATTAGCCCTTTTCGATTTCTTAATCCGGTTCTGATTGGTAAAAATACTGAGTTTTATAAATAATATTTAATTTTGGGATAGTCCTTAATTTTTAAATTTCGAATTTTAGATCTAGTACAATCCCGCGTTGAAAATTTAATATTTATTATTAATCGATTTTACTTAATACTATTTACGGCCGTACAATCTTAGATTAACGAAAAACTCATTAAATCGATTCACGTTTGAGTAAACGTAGGTGAAAATTGAGCGAAAACCCTAACGTTGTAAGGTGTAATATAGTTATCGTCGTATTGAACTTTGGAGTTACATAAGAAAAGAAACTCTCGGCACTATAGTTCAAAAAAAAAGTTATAACGTTTTAAAATCTGATAATTTTAAGGTTTTTCAAAATCGGACAATACTTGCGTAGTAATGGTGTTACGAGCAAAAGCCGAATTCGGGTACATCTCAGAAATGCCCGGGCAAGACGTCATATTTTGGCTATTGCCCGGAAAAAGCTAGTAGAGACCAACCTCATTTGGGCAAAACTGTAATGTCTATAAATTTTAATTTTTCACGGTAGGTAGATACATTGTTAATAACATTAAAATACTCGCTCTCCTCAGTAATAAATTGGTCCTTACACGAAAATATCTAATTTTTAACATATAGTAACAATATAAAATAAACTTTCCTTTCTTGCAAGGACCAATGTATTACTAATAAAGATGTACCGAATATTGAAATATCATATAGGACAGCGAGTATTAAAAATGCATTAACTGAGGGATAAGGGTTTGTTTTTTATTCTTGCAAAACTAAGTGTACTTACAAGGCGGTGTAAATGTAAAAGACACAATATTATTTGTAGTTCCAAATACCATTGTTCCAATATATGTAACAACAAATAAACAAAATACGTATTTATGTTGATATACCTAATAATATGTAATATTTAATTTTGGTAATTTTACAATTTTATAATTTTATTAGAAATAAAAATTAAATAATAGAATAAAATTCTTAAAATCAACATCATACCCAATATCATTAAATTAATTTTATTATTATTTAAACTTATTGAAATAATTTCTTAAAATCTTATTTTATCGTTATTTATATTTAATATTAAAAAATAAATATGTTATCTAACTACAGTGAATTTATGGATATTACAGTTTTTTTTCAAGTGAGGTTGGCCACTACTCACTACTAGGTTTGTTCGAGCAAAAGCCGAAGTATGACGTTTTATGGTGTTTTGCCCAAGTATCGTTTTGCACGAACATCCCTGTAATATGCCCGATTTTGGCTTTTTCCCATAACAATAATATCGAAAAACTAAAACCAACGTCTCATAAGTACATTGCTGGCTCTCTTCTTTATAAATTTGGATTCTTAATTTGGTTTCTTAAATATTTTTCATTGGTTTTATTATAAAAAATTAAATACTTGTAAAATAAATGATAAACAACTACTTGTAAATGGATTTTAAAGGAAATTTAGTTATTTTTAAATTAATACAATTTTATTTTTCTAACAATTTCGAAGAATATGTCTTTTATCTTTTAAATACAGGATGTACCAATCATCTTAATAATTTCGAGATTAATCTCCTAGATAATTAAGTATAACTTACTATGTAGTGAATATTATATACTCTATTAATAATCATAAGTTAAATATATAAACGGATATGATGTCTTACCAGTGGCCCCGTGGTGGAGGCGGGTGAACTTAAGGAGTAAGGTTTTCGGATCCTGTGAAGTTCATCTGAGAAACTTCTGGTACCGGGTATCATGGGCGGCAAAATGGGCGGTGGCAATGAATCGTCCTCAGAATCGGTCGACTGTGGCTGATTCTGTTGTATAAGCCATGCCGAAGACTCTATGGTATACGACGGGTAATCATGCGAATAGTGATTCTGGTACTGGTGATTCTGATGTTGGTGCTGATGGTGATGATGATGGTGATGTTGGTGGTGATGGTTCCGGTGACGGTCACCGACTTCGTCATCACCGTTAACCGAGGGTTGTGACGCCGGAGATTCGGGTCGGCCCAACAGTTCCTCATCAAACCAGTCCAGTCCCACGTCTTTCATCCAGTCCTGTTGCTCTGAACCCTGCAGACACTCACTAAACCACATATACGGATCGGCGTCGTTTTCGATTTTCATAATTATCCACACGAGAGGATGATTAGGAGATAACGATAGAGATAAGAAAGCACACAACTGATCGAAGACGGTAAAGATTTCGGAGAAAAAAAATCAGAGCAAAAACTTGTCTTACAGTATTAGGCTCGTTCGTCTTCGTGTCCTGTCCAAGACTAACTCCTTGCTGTCGCAGAGAACGAGTTCGAAGGGACGTTAATATTTTTATACGAGTAAGATTATATATTTTTAATTTTTTTTTTTATTTCACTGGCGTATTATTTATCACCGAGTAGCACACGTGATTTTCACCTCCACCTCGTCATCCTCCTCCTCTCCCTCCTGTGTGTGTATACTGTGCAACAAAAACGCCTCAATCCCTGTCGCCATTACCGAGTGTTTAGCTTACGTTTTAGAGACGTCATATTTGTTTGTTTTTTTTTTTTTTTTTTTTTTTTTTGTTTCGTTGGTTAGTTTTTTTTTTCATCTTTCAATCGGACAATAATAGTTGATGAATACATATATATACACTTATACGTGGTGACGAAGGAGAATGAAGAGGAGGAGAAAAAAGAACATCATATTATACAATAATGTAATAATGTATATAAGAAAAGCAAAAGCGACGACGACAATGACGGCGGAAAAAAAGTTTATGTAAAAAAAATAATATATATATATATATATATATATCTTCAAGTGCTACCACATATACCGCGGTACACAAACATGTGTACGCCATCGATGATGTTCGTCCCTTATTTTTTATTTTTTATTATTATTATTTTTTTTTTTACAACTATACCATTAAAATAATTAATAATACCTCCTCTACCGCGCAACATGTCAATTAAACGGGACGGCGTGCGCATTTGGTGACCACAAATTGAATAATTTTATACAATAATATATACGTGTGCATATTATTATTATTATTTATTATTTTTTTTTTTTTTTGAAACTCTTACTATAAAATTATATTCTCCGGTTTCGATCGCTTCGCTGCTATCGTCGCCGCCGCCGTGTCCGAGTACTCTAGTCGTTTTCGGTTTCATTTAAACGGAACGTTCAAATACCGATTAAAACATGCATGTATAATGAAGAAAAGCGTAAAAGGAAATAAAAACTGTTTTTAAATTTACATCGTCATTGAAACGTTTTACATTTTACTAAGCTAAATGAATTGTATTCGCACAAATCAAAATATATACAGTATATGTACCTACAACATAGGTAGGTACGCAAAATGCCGTGATTTTTATGATTTCCATTGGTGTGAATTTTAAACGCTCATTGAAAAAACAGTAGGTACGGATTTTTGTTATTTTTATAGTTTCATACGATGGTTAATAACCTCACGTCAAATTGTCTAACATGTTTGAAAAACCGAAAAGATTTATCCAAATAAAACCTAAAAGAATACTCAACAATTTTAAATAGCTATAAAAAGCTCAAAAATTTACCATCAAATTGTTAAAACAATAATACGTCTAGACAGTACTTTGTAAAAAAAAAAACAGTTGTCTACAATTATTTCTGACTGAAATAAAACAAAAAAAAAAAAAATCAAATCGAAAATCACTGAAACGAATATTTCGTACATTTTACTGTTTTTTCTTAGATACTAAGAAAACTACAAGAAAAGTATGAAAAAATACCTTTTAAATGCACTAAACAAACCAAGAATAGTACGAAAATCTCTTTTGTCAATTTTTAATTGGCGCAAGGTTTCTGGTGGAAAAGTTGTTACACAAGACAAACATCATAATAAAGATGTAGTCGTATGCTACGCTCAGAATTAAAAATCATTAAAAAGGTATTTTTTTCGTGACCCGGTATGTAATATATTTCATTTTTTATAAATTCCGAGTGTAGCGACGGAGTTATTGGTTTTACAATGCTGTTTATTTTTTTTTCTTCTTTTCTTTTTCTTTATTCCAGTCTGTGGACACATTTTATCCTATTAAACTTTCTCTGGCGTATAAGTGTAGTATTTTTTCTGAAAGCTCAAGTTGTCTTAATTATACTTTAAACAAATCATTTTTTTGATTTTTGACGTCATATTTTAAATAAAAGCACTCAAGTAGGAAAAAAACGTAGAAAAACATACAATTTTACGATTTCATTATTTTATAAAAACACCGACGACGTTTTCTACCAAAAAAAATGATTTAATCGAAAAATCGCATGATACCTTTTTTGTTTTCTTTTTGATTTAACGGATAAAAAAAAGATATAAACATCTTTATAAAACCATAAACGTATTCGATCCACTCAGAATCTAAGACATATTATGTACTGTTGAAAAAATCACAATTTTTTATGCTACTTGTGTACTAAAATCTTAAATAAAAAAGAGTTTTCTCGACTGAAATTAATTTTTTTGTTGACCGTGAAAAACATGTATAATATTTATTACCTACCGTTTTATTTCTCTATAATCTAATAGATAATAACATCGAATGACATACGAATAATATCGAACTAGGGCGTATGTATGAAGATAAAAAAATAATTTACAAACCGCTAAGACTTACTTTACAGGTATAAGTGCTTAAATAATATAATATAGAATATCACAAAATCGAATATCACGACCTCGTAGACCCACAACAGTGCCGAGGTTGAAAAACCTCGACCGCCATGCAATGTTTATAGATTCTTCGACAAATCTATTTTATAATTTTATACACTGAGCGTAAACCGAAAAAAACGTTTCTATATATTATACATACAAATCAACGACACCTTCGGTCCCTAAGTTTCCCGTCAGCATATGTTTCTCTAGACGATTTGAAAGGTTCTTTTGACAGTTATCGTCTCCTTTTTTTTTCTTCTGTAGAAAACACGACAATACTATTTCATTACACTCTTTTATTATTTATTACTGATATATCTTTTCCGCGGAACAAATACCTACAACTTGTTCACCGCCTTTAATGTTATAAATTTAAAATGTGTACACGTGACGAATTTTGTTAGTCTCCTTCGCCTTGTGTCACGATATATAATAAATTGTAAAATAATGTATCGCGGAACATTTTTGTTTTTTCGGTCGGTCGTATTCAATTCACGAAAACTATAGGTATCCACGAATAATAAAAATTTGTATACACGCCATACTCATTCATAATATGGATGAATTTACGTGAAACCTATATTGGTAACTAAGTAGGTATATACGCTGAATATTGCACATCTATAGGGTACAAAAATTATAAATATTATAATATTTATAATTTTTATGTACACATGTACATTGTTCATATATTATATTATTCAGTTTAGAATTTTTCTGTTCGTACATTTTAAAGTAGACCGAAAAACTATAAATTATCATTCAAATATTCTAACATTTTTATTCGTGCTGTTTTTTTGTTTTATTATTCATATTATTACGTCATGGCCTATTACTTAATCCGTGTGCGATCAGTACAAGCAAATAACAAAATAAAAAAACACACCAGTCTGGACACGTCCTTACTGGTCGTTTCCAGGGCGCGTGATACTTTTCAACATGGTTTTTACGAACGTTTATTTTTTCAACACGACGTATATGGAAGGCGAAATCGTATTTTTTCGATTTAAGACGTCGTATGATTATTTAAAATGCATAATTCGATACACATTTTTGTTTTTATTTTTTTTTTCGTATGTGGAAAAATGAATCTTCTTATTCCGAAGTACCTATAGAAAAGAACGGTCAGCGTCATATTTCAGGATATTAAGACGAACGAGTGAACAAACGAGAGTTTTTGAGCGGATTAAGGAATAGAAACTGTTGAGACATGCAATTTATGAATCCGAGGAGTGTAAGGGATACGCAATAGCAAATTATTTGTTCACTTCAAATGTTCAAAAAGTCCTCATTTTTATTAAGAAAAAATTAGTTTTATTTATATTTTCCACTATCCAAGTTACGTATATTATTATAAAAAATACTCGTATAATCTTCTAATATTCGTTTCATCGCGAACAAGTTATACAGCCTTAACCTGTCATTACCAGATTTATGCTCACAAAAAAAAAAAAAAAAAAACGTGTTAAAACTAATTTGTATGGTTAGAAATTAGGTATTGTCGTGACGTGATGATAATTGAAACCGAGAAATTTAACATCATACAGCCGCAATGGCAGCTGTCTAATAGCGCTCACCATCAGTTAATCATCGCTGCAGAGAAGGTAAAATTTGAATACATAAAAAAAAAAGCCGGACTGTCGTAGAATAAAATAAAATATTTTGTTTGTGAAAGTCAAATGTATATCTATCGTCTATGGCTAATTTTAGGGTGATTTTAATTGGATAAGTAGACATATCGAGATTTCTTAATATTGAAACAAAACCATATTCTCATAGAAATCTCTTAAACTTCATTTGTGGCAATTGAATAATACATACTGTGGAATTGCGCAGTTATGAAATTAACCGGATATATTAACTTTCTCATTTAAAGTTTTGTGGTGGCGTCTTACAGTTAATATTAAAGAAGCTCGAGGATAAGTCTTGACGAGGAAATGAGCTTATATACAGTGGCGGACTGGCCTGGATGGATGGCCGGCAATTTATCGTCGGTTGGTCTGTCTTTTGTATTGAGGTTTTGTGACCCCAGGTACGATTTTGTTGGTTTTAAAATTTAGTTACCAATTTTAAAATTAATTGACATAATGTTATTGTCTTATGAGAATTTATTTTAATGATATCGATTATTCATTATTCATAGTATCTTAACGAAGTATGAACGTTTTATTCCAAAAATAAGTGAAAATAAGGATAATAGCTTGTTACTGAAATCCAGTTGTCGATTATACCGCAACAACAATTATGGATACTATTTCAATCCGAATCGGTAGCGGTCGCCTCCAGCTTATCATTGCCAATCAAAATAGGCTAACGAATTGTTGGAAAAAAATATTTTAAAGAACTAAACAAATTATAAATTTATCATGCCGTAATCAGTCTTAAAATTTTGTAATGCACTTAAGTAGTACGGTTTATTCAAAGTGTTATTATGAAAATGTTTGTT